TATATATATATCAATGTGATAAGATTATATATATAAATTGTTTAACATAATGCTTTCTGATTGGCATCTTTCTGTCGAGTATAATTTTGACTAGAAAAAAAAGTATATATAAGTATTATTTTTTATGCAATAAAATATGATTAACCCAGTATAACTCCTTCTTGGTGTTGAGATTTACATTTCTGTCAATGTATATACGTTGTGACAAAAATTCTGGTATTTTATTAGTAACGAAATACTCGATGCCAGATGGATACTCTAGTGAAAAGATTGAAACATCTCCCGTCGGACGAACACTTTCGTTTCGTCTTCATAAAGACGCGAAACATTCGTTTTTAATCGTCAGACGAATCTCTTTTCCCCGACGGGCGTTCTCACCCGTCGAGAGAAGGACGCATAATAACTCTGTCTTAATCACCGAGCCACAAATCTTAGCGCGGCGATCTCGGATGATAAATCGTTTAGCTTCCGACTTCGACGACCTCGTTACGGTATGCAAACGGTAATTACTTCGCCGAAAATACATCGCACGCGTACAAGCGCGACTCCTTCGGCTTTGCCTCTCGGGTGAGAGAAATTACCGGGTGACGTTCTCCACGTAAGGCATCTGATTTGCATGTCGTAAAACGTTACGATGCAACGATCGCGCTCGCGCTTTTATCTCATATTTCCTTACATACGTACCCCATTGCGCTTCGATAATGAACACCGTGTAGAGCCGACACCATCTCCCGGCCGTTCCGAGGGTCCCGGTTCTCGTCGAGCGCACGCAGCAGCGATCTCTCGTAAAGGTGCACCGCGTCGTACAGGTACGCTGTCTCCGGTACGATCTGCCTTATAACATGAGGTAACGATTACGCTTCGAAATTGGGGATGAATGCGGCTGTACGTCATGCGATTCGTTCGAAAGATATCGCTCCCGGATTACATAGATTGACGAGTAGTCGCAAAGAAGACGATAATAACAGAGCGAACGAGTGTGATAATTTTGGAGATGCTGCGGATAATTCGCCGCATGTAGAGAAGGTTGTTATTTATAATGCGGTCCCCGATGGATAATATACGATATATATTATTATACAAACTGAGTGCGCACTTCAATTTGACTGCACTATAACTCATAATTAGCGTACAATGTTTTAATACGAGTTAAACTTTTGGATATATGAATGGCTTCTCTTTTCACTAATAAATCGCTTTTAAAAGAATTCTGTATGAGAAAAATTTTTACAACAATAAAAACATAATATTTTGCAACACATGGGAAAATAAATAGTATTAAATATATTAAGATATTGATGTGTGCAAACTTTGTAAGTCATAATTTTTCCTATTTCAATAACAAATAAAGAACTTTAATTGGTTTCTCTAATTAGTAGATACTATTGAAAAGAATAATGAAGGAGATTTTAAAGCTTAAGAAAAATAGAAAGAGGTAAAGAGAAAATCCGAGTTTCATAAGACTGTATTTTTAAATTTACGCGGGGGGTGAGTTTTTTAACATGTTTTCTTAATCTAATCATCGTCTCTAATAGTCACCTGAACTATTCCTCCGACTTTTGCCAAGGGATTTGTAAAATTGAACGGCGGTTTCTGCCTGTATTTATTAACCAGCCGAGTAAAATTCATAAAATTGATCGGAGCTGACGCGACGATGCTGAAGTAACTGCGATACGCATTCACGATTGATAGATCCATCTCCTTCTGCCATAATCCGCGAAGATATTTGTCCGGCCGCTTCTCATCATATTGTTCGATGTCGACGCCGACAACCCAATATTCGCCTATCATAAAATGCACTAAATATTATCCTTTACAATAGACGATAAAAAGGACACAAGAAACTCTATAAAACTATATGAAAAATGATATTACTCACGGCTAAAAAAAGCTTACATCTTTTGCTGTATCTTATTAATGATTATATGACAATGATAAAAGTATGAATTAAATAATGCAATATCTTTTTTTTAATTATTTTAGTTTTTTTTTTACTTTGTCAATTTCGAAACATATTCGATTTATGATACGATCATATGCGTGATGCGTGAAAGTTGACATTAAAATTATGATTAATGAGTCAGTTACTCTTCGATATAATATACATGTGTGTACCTGATTATTTTATAGCAAATATTTATACCTTTTGTCAAAAGATTCATTTCGTCCAGAGCCATCAAGAGACCAATATGCTCAAAATACTCCCCAAGAATCACGTAAACTGTAATGCCATTTTGTAATGTTATTTATATTAAGGAAATCGCGTCATCGGAACTTCTTTCCGGTTTATAGTCTATCGGTCTATCGCGCCCGCTTTATCGAATCGGGATTGCTAACACCAGTCACGTATATGTTTATTTTTAGAACTCGGTCTCTTAATACATTCAAATAGATGTGTGACTAATGAAACGAGTAACAAGCTGTATCTATTCACGAGTTAGCATACTTGCTTTAGTATGCGGGTAGTTGTTTTTTAACTGCAAGTTTCATTCCGTATCTTGTCGCGGTATAAATTAAAGAATCAAAATGCGGGTGATTTATTTTGATTCGTACATGCAAGTCGATTGAGAAAAGATACACATCATCGGACAATGAACTGAACCTTTGAACTAAAAATGAAAGCCTGCGTGAAAAGATTAATGTTATAGAAACTGACCTACATACTTCAAAATAAATTGTCGATTATGAAAAATATATTATAAGTTGTGAAGCTACGATTTCTTTTTGATAAATACAGTAACGCGTAAACGAATGATTATTATTTAAAATCAAATGTTTTTGTTACTCACTTCGAGTTTTACGAAACGTTTCTCTAACGTGTTTGTGAAAAGGATTTTGCATGTGCGTATCTACATAATAAGGTTCGCTCCAAGATCGAAGGTATGTCACGCTAATTCCGGCCGCTTCGAAAGACGTAAGAATTGTCGTCGCTATTGTGGACATTTTATTAAATTCAAACATTGTTGAATTCATGTACATGAACGTTACCTAAAGATAAAAAATATTAAAATTATATTTTAGAATATATATTATAAAAAGATAGCACACTTTTATTATAAAGAAATAAACAAAAAAGAAACACTGTACTCACTTTTGTCCAGTTGAATGCCAACAAAACAGAAACAACGGATTTTGAGATTTGCGTATCGGGTGGCCTCGTTCTTACAAATGTTGGAAATTCTTTCTTATTTGATGTTTCGTGGTGTGTGCAAAACTAGAAAATACAAGAACAGTCATTAATCAAGTTTTCTCTTTTTTTTTTTTTTTAGTTTTATTTATACGTGTATATGCTATCTTAACATTGGCAAACTCAGAACCGTGTATTCATATTCGTCGAGAATAATTTATTTTACATAATAGTTCGCTGCTCTTGGGAACAAATTGCACATTGGATTACCAAATCACGTCGAAACGAGCGAAAGACGATTGCGAGAAATTCGCGACCGGAGACCATTTGTGTTATTATGCACTGTTCTTTTCGAGATTTGAGTAGAATACCACTGGTGTTCGTATATTTCGACAAACATTATTTTTTATAAAGTATATGTTATTCTTGAAAATATTTCATATTTTCCGCAATTATGTGAAATAGTTTCTAAGTGACAAAAATTGCTATCTCACACAAAAATTGCTAATATTCTAATAAAATTGCCAAAGTTCTAATATTTTATATTTATATTATCTTTTTATTCAGTAAAAATTATGATAGATTTTTTTCTCTTTATAAAAAAATATAAAATATTTTTACATTAAATATATTAATCAATAAAAATTAACTCATATTAATCATAGCTATTGGATTTTAATAAATATTTAGAGAATGTATGTAAGAGAGATTTATAAATAAATAAGATTTCTTAAAAATATTTATGTCACAGAAAAAAATGCTAATATAAAATCAGCTATATATAAAAATAAATACTATTAAATCGATTATTTTTATTTATTTTTTTTTTCAATATGTTTCCATTTAGCTATTAATAGAATATTTTATTTTTCCAGTATCTTATTAAGTTTTTTATTTATTTTGCTGAAAGTTCTCTTTTATTGCATCAAATAAAAATTGTTTACTGAGAAGAAACTGGAGTGCGAAAATTGCTAGCCATAAACACTTCTCTCTCTGTATGGAATTTTTGCAATCAGGTTATAATGTTATGCAATACGGTACGCGAGACGAGAAAAAAATAGAAGAAATTATATTGTGTGCAAAGGGGAAACTAGATTTGAAGCATATCGATATATATTTAATAAAATGAGTACAAAAATTAATATGATTATTATAGAGAAAATGATTTATATAGAGAAAAAATTATTTACATAGGATATCATTGGAATGTTAAATGCAGCGGCCATTCTGCCTTCGTGAATGCAAGTTTCTTGTGGACCGATGTAAGCGCTAACGTTTTTCCTCCACAAATCTGCCACAGTTAAAATGCTAGTTTCTTCTTCACCATAAGTTTCGGCAACAAGAAATTCCAACTTGTGCCCTCGTTTACCAAGCTCGCCAGCGTTTACCTGTGTTCCAAGTACTATTTAAGAAGAATATTTCAGATAAAAAGATCAAAGGTTATTAGAAAATAATAAATTTATCGAATCTAATATATCGAATTTTTTATCTTAATAGCAATGTTTATCATGATATATCTCGTATAAAGTCTATACATATCATCTCACAAAATTGTGTTCTAGTCACGTGACAAATTGTACAATTTTCAAGAACAATAAAGTATACATATATAATTCTTCCGCGCAACCACAAATTGCTCTAGTTTCGCTTAATCGATGTTAAACAGATAATCGACATTTAACGGATAAGCGTCATGTTTCCTTCTGATTGGAATTGTTAAATTTAATTATCTGCTTCCGCGTTAATCACGGTCGACAATAGTATTATGAGGAGGCGGAAAGAGGGAGGAGGGATAGCAAGGATACGATTACTCGCCTCCTGTACGGCGAGAGTGAGTGCCCCTGATATGCGAAAGCCTGGTCGCTGATACTCCAAGTCCTCTAGACGTCGTTTTGATCCAGTGATATATCCTAATAGGAAGGTCTCCGCGTCGACGACGCGAGAGAGAGAGAGAGAAAGAAAAAAGAAAGAAGAAAGAAAGAGAGAGATTTCAATTTTATTTTAATGAATGGGATTGTTTTTATTTGTGTCTTAATGCATAGACATTTACTATAAAAATCAATGTTACAATATTATTGCATATTCATATTATTAATATGTATAATGCGCATCTTTCCTGTGACGAGCATGCAATAATAGTGTAATATCATAGCCTACGATAACGTAATTTTCACAATTAAGTTTATATTCGTCTTTGATCCAATAATTAATTTACACTGGATTGCTTGTATTATTGAAGGTAAAATCAGCTTCAGCGGTAGTCGCGCGTTTGTCTTTCGTCAACTAGGTTTATCGGTAAGAGCATGATGGTAGATGCAGGTGGGTGCTTGTAATGTCGGTAATGGATGAAACCAGTAAGCTCCACGGGGTCGCAATAAAACCCATCAATCTCCCATGGTGTACCTAACTTCCTCTTCCTCAACATTTTCTCCGTATACTTGAGATACTTGAAACTTTTCTCCACAAATACAAAGTGACGTTACTTATGTGTGAGAGATCGATCTTGTTTAAAAATACACAAAATAACTCGCTTTTAAATAAATAAAATATATTTTTCTTTTATATTTTATAATATATGTTTTAAAACATATTCTTTTTATAGACGTGCGCGTATAGTAAAAAAGTTGTTATTAAAATATTATTTTATCCTGATTATATAATTCAGAAAAATTAAAGCTAATAATTTTTATAAAGATATGAACTTTTATAAACATGTACTTTTTAGTTATAAATAAACACAGTCATATTTTCTTGATTATCATGTTTGACACACGGTCGCTTTCAGCGGGAAAAAGCGTAAAGAATAAAATACTTGAAGTTTATTGCCGGAGTCTCATAAATGTCTACATAAAAAATATATCTCGCGCTCGGTGACAGCATGGCGTGTAAATATATTATAGTACCCGTAAGCGCGACTAAAATCCAGCATATAATACCTACTTCAGAAGGATCGTCGGCGCGACATTACACGATACCTATCACAAAATCAGCTTCCGGAAGTCGGTACGTGTCAGTGCTGTCAGACTCATTATTAATAGCGATCTATTTTAATAATACGTCTAAACCGCGGGGTCGTTGAACAAACCGCGCTTAAGTGGTCCGCGAAGTGTTGCGTAAAGACGTCAAGGCCACACACAGTCACCGAGACATTGAAGGATTCGCAAACTCATTTGCATGAAAAAGGCGAGCGCGTATTAAATCGCACTAGTTGATCGATAACCCTTTGGCATGGCTCGCTCGGATCCGCAACGTGGGTGGATAATGATTCTCTACGATGATGCGATCGTGGGAATGCCGGTCGCGGATCAGGCGAGCGTGTATGCGGCTTCGATGAAAATTGCACTTTCGACGGCGCCGATTTCGCCCTTCTCAGTATTCCCTGCCGTAAGGGGAGGCTGTAAAGGAGAACGCATGTAGCAAGACGCGGAACAAACGTCACGCGAGGTGGAAGATAATTCGTGAGGAGAGCGCATGCCATATATATGCTGCGCGTATATGGGTATTGCACGGTATTGCGGCTACGCATTTGTCCAAAGGCAGTGAACCAATTAACCCCGACGACGAGCTGACCGTTCGTTCTTAAATTACCTGCTGCGCCGCTTTCACGGATGTACGTTTGTCCGCCGTCAGTTGTAAATTTCTTTCTAGCGAGAAAGAATGCGCCGTAATTGTCGGCGCTCTTTCCCCCGTTTTGTTAGATTCGATACGAAATTGATAGTAGAATTTTCAGTATACAATCGAAAAAGCTAATGTATACCATGTATCAATTAATATATAAAATAATAATTACTTATCTTTATTTATATTTTATATAAACAACGTAATACAAAGAAAAAAAACTTAATCTAAATTCATTTCTGCGTCATATATTTTTATTTTAAAACTATTATTTATTAGATATATCTTGCAAATTTTCAAATTTCTTTTTTTCTAAACCTGGATTATATCAGGTAATATATATGACTTAAACTTTTTTATTCAATGTTCTTCGTAAAAAAAAAAAAGCATTTTATTCGCGTAATAGACTTTGGTGAAATTTTAAAACGTGTATTTTGCGACCTCGATTGCTTACCTTCTCGAGTGACAAACTGTGGATCCGTCGCCGTTTAATCTTACGGCCTGCCGAGTTTTGACAGTCAATTCTCGTCCCGTCAAAACGTAGCATGGCCAGCTTGTATACTCGATTGCAATGCAATCGGCGAATTAACGAGCGACGCGGCCACTGAATTAATGCGGTTAACGGAGTGCAGTACCACTTTTTCAGGTTTACTTGTATCACGCGATTAAAAACGATACATTGGTAGGATTTACTTGTTCGCTTTATTTACGACGATTACGCAGTTTTATCTGATTAAAATCGGCCTGGCTAACATTTTTATATTAAATGACCATTTATCGCGACCTCGTTTGAATAGATTATATATATCGTTCATAACATTCCATAAAATGGCTATCTTTATAAAGTATGCATTTTGATTAACTTAATCACCGATATATTTATTGTTAGATCAAAGTAAAAATGTATTGCATTTTTAAAATATGAGCCTTTAATATATTCATTTTTAATGTTTTTAGATCCATGAATATCATAGAAATAAAATGATACAAAATCAAGAAAATTAAAATATATCGTTGGAGTACATAAAAGTAAAGCTTTTAAAGAATACTTTCATTTAATGGAATATTTCCAATGCATAGATGAAGATTAATTAATCATGTTTCTGATAAATTAATTTTCATTCAGCTTAAAATAAAACTGTTTCATTTGCATAACTATTCGGAGACAAATCAATTGAACGTAATTATAATGATTAATAGCGTGCAAGTAGGCTCATTTAAATAAATTCTGCATTATCATATAGTATCATGTCGGTAAGCATTACAACCGTTGCTCTCAATAGATGAAGTAATCAAATATACATAGTTGATGTCAATTGTCAGACGTATTGCCGCAACATTCAATTCTTTGTAACAATTAACGTGACATATTCACGGACGCAGAGAGTCTGTTGTCTATTGAATATGCCTCGTGTAATATTAATTTTCCTTTCAGATCGGATACGTGCCTTTGCTTTATATTGCATAAATTAATATTAAATTTATAGAATAATCGTGGTGAAACGTGGGCGTTTCGACACGCATACGACATACATGTCTTCCCATTCTCTTCCTCGGAACAATTAACGAGATATATATTCTCGATATCTGTGTTAGACTCATTGAAATATGAATGCCTTATTGCAATGGCAACAAATACATTATTACATGAGATCTATCGAATAAAGAATAATCAATTTAATAACAAGTATAGATAAAATATATATACGAAAATGAGGCAACTCTGTGTTTAAAAAGAAACTTTCCCAAAATAGCCTAAAATTGATTTATGTGGTTTGCACGCGCTATTATTTTATCTACAATATTTACGTAACAAAAATAAAAATGTATTTTGCATTTGTTTTATGCAATGTAAAATAATCTATACACACGTTGACAAGCCAGTGTATTTACGTATCGAATAACAAGTGCGCTCCAGGGTTAAATCGACAAAATAGAGAAATTTGCCTGGAGGATGACTATATGCGATCAAAGAGAAAGAAAAAGAGAAAGAGAATTTTAACTTTGATTTACATTTTATTGCGAAACCAGAGAGACGCACGTGGACGCGCGACGACGCAACGAGTTGTTAGCGATCGCGCTCAGGCTTTCCCCCCCGGGCCGACATTTTGACAGCATGCCCGCGATTTACATTTTATTGCGAAACCAGAGACGCACGTGGACGCGCGACGACGCAACGAGTTGTTAGCGATCGCGCTCAGGCTTTCCCCCCCGGGCCGACATTTTGACAGCATGCCCGACGGCGTGCAAAACTCGTGACGCTAATTACGGTTGACTAATCCAGTCTCTCTGCGAGCGTTTTTTTATTCGACGTGACGGGCATTACGTCGTCCGGGAGATAAAAAAAAGGGAAGCGGGCTGCGGGCGCAGTTGATCGTGTTTTACGCGAATCGCTCGTTTCGGGCTTGTCGCTTGTAATTTACAATCGCGGCTCTTTTTCCGTTTGCAATTGGAAAATTTACGAATCTCTGCTTTCGTAGCAGAGAGAAATATAACAGTGTAACAAACTATCGACATATCGGAATACGTTTCGTCAAAATAATAACATTTCAAAGATTAATGCATATGTGTAATACAAACTTTATTTAGAATGGCATCTAGAAAGTTGAATTTTGTTTGTAAACTAGAAGAAATAAATCATTGTTGTGTTTAGCAAAAATATTTACACATTTTCTGTAATTATTATACAGTTAATAATTATTAGATATAGTTAATAATTATTATTAAATACTGTAATTAAATTCTGTAATTATTATACAGCTAATAATTATTAGATATAGTTAATAATTATTATTAAATACAATTATATATAAACAACTATGATATATAAAATATGCGATTGATATTCTGTTTATGAATTAAAGATATCAAAAATATTTTATAAATCTGATTTTTTGTTGTACAAGATAGATAGGCTATTATTCTATGATATCTTTTTGTAACTGGTAATATTTCACACTATTTTGTTATTCAAAAATATTTATGTTTGTCTAGAATAATCATGTCAAGCGCAATCAATTATATCGATATTATCCTTGATTCAATTTATATTTATCTTTAAGTAACTATGTAAAACTTTCACAAAGTATTGACACAATTGGATCGAAAAATGACCATTTGATGAATGATCGAATGATCGAAGAGATCATGCATTTTTACCGTAACAACAATTAAGAGTATGGTCTAAATCATGTCTGTATATCATCCTGTTTCTCTCGTTTTTTTCTTTCATCGCGCAAAGGAAATCGTGAAAGGCGATCGAGATCGAGGTCGTAAGCGCAAC